TTGGATGACTATGAATATTGAATTAAAACGGTAATTATACCTATAATGAGCTAACAATGATTGAAAATAAAAGGCGAACACTTTTAACATACGAAAGGTCCAATTTAAACTAGTATAAAAATTGGGTTCTGAGTAAAAGTGAAATAAATTAAAAATTCTTTTAGTGAAAATCTGTTTCAAGAACTTTGCAAACCAGTTTTTAATTCCGCAACGATGAGGTTGCATTGCGCGGTATAACTCCGCAGGTCCTGGTTCAACCGAGTATTTCTGCCATGAAAATCAGCTTCTCATAAAAATACAATCGCCGTTCGTAGTTGGTGTAAAACTGTAGGTCCCTCCACTTAGTGTAACAACATCAAGGCGCACGCTACAAATTGGAGGAGAAGCTCGGCCAAAACACTAACGTATGTGTAAGCCAGTGATGGAAAATCAAAATTTAAAATTGTGCCGATTTCCTCGAGAAAAATTTGCCTTAATGCAGGTCAGGGGCGCACCCAGGAATATATTTTAGGGGGGGGGTTTATATTTCTGAAGATATATCACCGGAAAATACTGAAAATTTTCTTCAGATAATACACTCTTTAAAATATATTTATGCAAGTTTTATGTACAGTATGTAATAAATAAATAAACGTTTTAAAATTCATGAACTGCACTTTATTTACATAAGATTAACAGAACTCAAACACTTTTAACCGACTTTAAATAAAGGGAAGGTTATCAATTCGCCGGAATACGTATCTTTGGGCCACGTGAACCGATTTCAATAATCTTTTTTTTGTAGAAAGATGGTACCTCAAGGTTCGTCCCGTAATTTGGTTTAGAGATCCGATGATTGGATCGTGAGAAATTAACGGTACCCCTAAATTTGAATATAAGAATGGAAGCCCGTTGTGTTCTTTCCTCAAAAACTACTTGTTTAATAAAAAGTGCTATAAACTCAAGATGCGCTCAACTTTCAAAAGTACCTAAGAAAAAATTTTAAATAAGACTCAGTAAAAATAAATTCATTAATTCCATGAATTTTTGCACTTTTATGTTCCTTTTTTCGATTTCTGGTTTCTGGCTTTCGATAGAGATGGTGATTTTTCACGATTTTTTTAATATTTCGAATACCGAAAAAGTTAACTGAACTCTCTAGAAAAACCAAAAATTCATATAAAACGACGGACGAGAAATGAAAAGAAATTTTCTTCTACCAAAATTTCTTAAATCAGTTTGCAGCTCTCAAGAAAAAAATGCTCGTATATTCATTTCCTCATGAAAATTTACAGCAAAAGCAAAGCGCTTTTTCAAGCAACAGAAATTATAATAAATATTTCTTATAATTTCCTTGAGAGCTGGATTCTTAGCTTCAAGATACAGTTTGTATTTGAGGTTATTAGCTTTAGGGGGGGTTTGAACCCCAAAACCTACCCCTTGTGTGCGCTAATGATGCAGGTCAATGTGCCAATAAATTGAAAGTCGTCGATAGGTACCATTTGCTTTATAACATATATTTACAGTACAGTTTGCATATAAGGAAAACAGAAATCTCACGGAAAACCTTTATTTAGTGCAACAACAAAAGAACACAACAACAAAAACATAAAAATCAAAGTTTAAAACTTTCTTTAAAAAAATTTCATTCCAATTTAAAACTTTGTTGTCAGAAATTTTAGAAACTTTCAGGTATGCAGTTTTATAGTCCATTAAATTTTAGTATTACAAAGTGCAAGTGCGGCGTTGATTTGTAATATTTTTTTTGCCTTTTTTATACATATTGGATGTACAAAAAATTTGAGTATTGAAGAAAGAATGAAATACCTTCAACGGAAAAAGTTCACAAAAATCAATGCGAATTGAATGGACTATAAAACTGCATACACAAAAGTATATGTAGTTTTCAAAAAGAAAAATCACGTATCAACGAAAATCATCGCTCAATCATTTACCCTGACCCTGTGGGGAAAATCTCTAGTTCTGAACTGGGGCGCTTCTAGTACATTTAGACCCAGTACTGGTTCGCGATAAATCTCTTTTGCATGCAAGCAACTGGCGAATTTAACATGGCGATGTCCTAGGAAGTGTCAATTGCCCCCCGCTGCACCCCTTTTTCGATAGTTCCGAACTAGTCCTAAATTCTATAGTTCCGAACCAGTTCTAAAATCGACAGACGAAAGAAAAAAGTATCATGATTTTTCAATCTTTTCGGTTCTTCCGTGTGCGATTTTACATTATTTTCAAAGAAACGTTTTTTCAATTTGAAATTAAATTTGTTTGAATGATTGTAAGAAATGTACGTTTACATACCTTGCTGTAGCTGACTTTGCAGAGGTGCTCGCTGTTATTGGTTAGATTCCAGATGGCCCCAAGATGTTAATATGTTAACACAAAGCTTTGTTTTGTATTACCAAACTATGAAATAGCATCTGCGAAGCACAGAATAGAAGCGTATTTGAACAAAAAGGCCGCCGAACACATATCTATGTAAAGTAAACAAGCCCCCCCGCTGCATCCCTTATTCGATAGTTCCGAAATAGTTCTAAAGTCGACAAATAGGATCTAGTGCGTTCTGCATCCCTTTTTCTATAGTTCCGAACTATTTCTAAATTCGTCACTTTGGATATAGATTTGTAGTGAAAAAAACTGAAAACATTAGTTTCTTAAAAGTACCACTTTTCGCCGATTTTTGACTGGTGGGGATCTCGTTCCTATCGGACTAGTTCCTTTTTGGGGATGACGACCTAGTACGGAACTAGAAATTTGATTCACTAGTCCGCGGTTTCCCTGCAGGGGAATTAAGAATTGTAAAAATACAAAGTATCAGTCCCCTTTATTCCTAAAGTATTTGCAGATTACAATGTCCATCTTGCGCAAACTTACTTGTAACTAGCATTCAGGTGTTGTTGCGAATATTGGACAGTTCCATATGCCTTGGTCTATAAATGAGAAGGCCTGATTCTTTGTGTATTTACATTTTGGAATTCAGGGTAAATTATAATTTAGTCAACTAGTTCATTTTTCGTATTAACATCAATGTTATTCGTATCGTCACAGCTTACTGCCTTTGGCACGAAAGCCGTAACGGCTTTTAAAATTTCAGCATCAAGGTTCTCTTTTTTAATCCTTGGCAAAATTTAACATTAAATTGCGAAGCATTTTTAAATGATAAATATTTCTGTACCAAAAAGAATATTCAAATTGGGTATGTGATTATTTACAGTGTATATTAAATAATATTTAATATTTGCTATAGAGATGAAATTGCGACAAATTTGTTTAAACAAAAATTTTAAGCGTATATGCAGAACCCGGAAGCCAGCTTCTTCTGCTTGCACATACGATCAAATGTAAAAAAAAAAAAATATTTTTAATTGCGGATCCGAAAGAAATATATATTAGTTGCATTGAGTTACGCAAAAATAGTGCCGAACATCAATCGATTGTGCTTAAGGTGCCGGCTGCTTTCGAAAGGGCCGAAAAGGGCACAATGCACACTAATTTTCCATCACTGATGTAAGAGCCAATCTGTTATTATTATCAGCGCAAAGGAAATTAAAAAGACTAAGGAAATAAATAATAAAACAAAATTGCTAAAATCCCTTTTAAATGTGTGATGCTCTCTAAAAATACATTTTAGAAAAATGTTGTAATGATTTTGAAATTACTACTGATATCTTAAAAATAATATCGTTACCATAATATAGAAAGGCCTTATCTCACATCGTAGCTGAAATACAAAAAGCCGTAACTAACTAAATTTTGTATTGCATAAAACGATGTGGGGACTTATACTTCGATGAAATGCATCATAATCAATCAAAAAGCGAATTTTAGATTTTTAGTTAGTTACGGCTTTTTGTATTTCAGCGACGATGTGAGATAGGGCCTTTCTACACTATGGTAACGTATCGGCCCCTATCTGTGTTAAGGTATGAAAAGAGGATGAGGTAATTTTTTCTGAGATAGGTATAGCGTGTAATAAACAAATTTGTATGTGAAAAATGCAATGTGTAACAAAGACAAATAAATTGTTGTACACAAAAAATGGCCTTTTTTAAATTATTTTTTAGTAGGCTTTAGCTATTTCTGGCTCTTTTTTTAAGCTCATATAGTTTTTTTTTATTTACAACCTTCCGGCGGCACTGTTAACAGTTATGTGTGTATGAATATACATACATATGTACTTATATGCACATATATGTACATATATGAATTTTCACTTTTTGACACTAGTACATAGCTACACAAAAAATGCGTACAATTTTTCCACACATATGTATGCAGATGCATCTCTAATGTTTTTTACGTACTGTGCATATGTATGTATATACAAGTGCCATATGTACGTACTTATTTTATATGTACATTCATAAATACACATTCGTTCATTTACAGAGTTTGCTCTTTAAATCAATTTTAGTATTAATTAAAATGTCTCACATATTTCCGGTGACTTTCCTTAATGGCGGCGTGTGCGCTGTTCTTCCTGTCTTCTGCTTCTACGTTGGATTTAAATAGATCTCTCTGAGCGTTAAAGTATTTCTTGCATATATTCACAAACTACCCGTATACAATAAATTGGTATATGTACTATGCGTAAGGTGTATTCGCTTAAGCTATTTTATGTTCCTCCTTTATGTGTAGGAATTGACGCAAAAATACAGGTACATAAATATATATGTATGTATGTAATACATTTCTTTTTGATCTTTATTATATAAATATGCTGTCGAAAGATTTGTACGTTTATCTACTCTTAAAATTCCATAAAAGTTTTCGCACTCACAACACTTTGCGCGAGTTTCCACAAAACAGTTTACTCGTTTATTTAATTCGAAAATATTTTACGTTTTTCATTTGTAACATTTAGTGGGAAATTTTTATTGAAGGCGTACATATGTACAAGCTTAAGTACGGGTATATATGTACATATGTATGTATATGCATTTTGCATGTGCCTTTTACACTTAACAATGATGAACTTATTTGCAGTTCGCAACTTTTCATATTCGTACCTCGACAAATGTGTAACTAACTATTTATTCACGCCAATATTTAATGCTCGCGGTCTTCCATTCGTATTTTGAATTTTTCACATTTCCCTCAATTAGTGCTTGATTTGAAAATGTTCTCGTTCGGGTTGGCACTCTCACCCTCTTCTGATGCCGGCACAGTTCCACAAATTTGCCTACAATGCTTTGGCTTCACCATTGAATTGTTCGCGTCCGAGCATTCGCTTTCACGTCTATATGTTCCTAATTAGAGCAGCGTATTATCCAAACTGTGGGCTGATGCGAGCATGGACGTTCAATCCGGCATGCTATCCCGGCGGCTACATAAACTGCTTTGTTCCTGTAGCAAACGCCCTCCATTTATGCTCAAGAGTGTACAGATCAGTAGTAGCGCTCACGCCCGCTATACGCCTGCGCCTGCAGCGCGGATCCGTCCTCCGATCTCATCTGTGCTTCCACACCGCATGGCTCTTCCATATGGACATACATATGTACATATGCACACATTGGAAGCAAGCGCTCAAATTCACTCAGCAGCGAGTCGCACTCATCAATTACACTCAATTTTCATAAGTACATTTGCACAGTGAAATTTCTGAAATTAAAAGAAATAAACTATCCCCCTGCTCTGCTAAAATGCATGCACATATGTTTGTCGAAACACATATGCATATGTAATACATACCCTGCAGGAAATGAATCTAACTATAAGTTAACTTTAAGTTGATTAGGAAGGAGCAAAAATTCATTTATTATCTGTATATTTCCTTTGACGAAAGCTAACTATATTTCTATGGCGATGGCCGCGAAATAGTCAAGGGTGGTTACTTGTAATTAACTACTTTTGGACATAAAATATCAACAGGAAAAAGAAAATATATTTTTTTAATTTTTTTTTTTTATTTTATTACATTTCATATTTGTTTTCATATTCTGCTGCAGGTGCATTCCGTCAGACATAACTTCAAAATGATAATTCGATCTTCCTTTTATTTGTCCTCAATTCGAAAAATTATTTGCGAAGTGCAGGTTATTTAAATAGAAACGCGTTTAAAGAAAACAATCTCCTTCATTACTCCTGCATTACTTGTCAACTAGTTTCAAGTTAGCTTTTTGTAGCTAACTACAAGTTATATATTTTATAGAAATCCCCCAAAAAATCTAACTTCACATGGGCTATTTTTTATCAATTGATAATTTTTTTCTGCAGGGTATGTACTATGTGTGCATGTGTACGTATTTTAAACAAATTTTTGTTTTACTTCATTCCGTGTAGCCGCACTTCACGCATCTCTGTATGTACATATGTATGCATATATTTTTTGTTGTTTTTTGACTAAAAAGTTACAATCTCACACATGTGTTGCAAGTCTGTTTTTAGTCTATTGGCCTGTCATTGTTTCAGTCTGCCGGTCTGCCACTCCATCTTTCTATCTGTTTGACAGTTCCATTCTCTGTTTATTTGTAGGTAGATTTTGCGCGTACATATTCGCGGACCATTGAATTGAGGCTCAGCGTCCTCAGTCCACACATAAAAATATGGCATCGCGCGACGTTTGGGAGATTGCTAAAACAGCAGTAGCCCCACCAGCGACAACAGATGCAACACTATCAGCAGATAATACGATTATAAAAACGCTGTTTACTAAAAAAAATCACATTTGCCATAATATGTGGCCATACATACATACGCACTCACCTAAAAACATATCTAATAAATAGATAGTATATAATACATATGTATGTACATATGTTTATTATGATGCCTCATGTTTTCTCAGTGGAAAAGCCATATTAAAGTCTCAACTCAAGGCCTACGACCTGACCGTATGCTATCGATGAATAAGGAAATTACCTACTTCTGCTGGTTTCTTTTCATATTTTCAGTTCAGGATAAATAGCGAGTAGTAGTTTTAAAACGGCACGCATAAGTGCTAATTCGAGTTGTTAAACTCGCCACTTCAACCAGCCAACTAAGCAACCAAAGTCTCAACTAAACTATGTTCAAACGTCAAACATATATGTAGCCCCTTATTGTGAGTTTCCCCTGATTTCCAAGGAAATGAGTCTCCGGAAGAACTGAAAGAGTCTCACCCCTTGTCTCCATGAAAGACTCATCAGGAATCCTGAGTGAACCCACATATTTGGTATTTATAAAGACCTTTAGCAACTTTACTGTTTACAATGGGTATAATTTTTATCGAGTTATTAAATAACTTTTCCAACGTGGTTGAAACAAAAAAACGTTTACCACCATTGATTTCAAGACTACGACGATTCCACAAAAAACAAATTTTGCTTTCCTTACGACTATACTCACATATACAAAAGGAATTGTACTACAATGCCAAAATTCGCCATATGACCACTTTTCTATTCCAGTTTTTCGGTGCTATATATATGGGAAATGACATACGAGATGAATAGACAAACTAGCATTATAGTGGGGAACCAGACTAATGCTTCTTTAACTAATGACTATTATCGAACTGCACTGAACATACCAGACAAGAGAGGTCGTCAAAACCTAGAAAAGTTCGATCCTTTCGTCATGGACCACCTTCAAGCGAATATAGTTTTAGTTAATTAATATGTAAACACTGTACGCGTGAATTTAATATTAAATAAACTTGTACATAATAATCAGAGCTGGGCAATTTATGATTACGAATACATTTTAATTACGATTGCTTAATTGTAATCCTTAAGTTATATACGATTACGATTATTTTAATTGGAATCATAATGTTACCTTTAAAAATGTTATAATTGTAGGCTTAAAAATTTAAGGAATAAGATAAATATAATCGTAATCATGAAATACATGATTACGAATACTGTAATTCTAATCTTAAAAACTTTAAGAATAGAATTACAGTAATTGTAATCATTACGATTACGAACATTTTAATTGTAATGCTAAAAATATTGTGATTACAATTAGTCTGTTCCTTTGAACTTCGGACTAAAACCTGTGGAACTGTCAAACTACAATTTTACTCTCTCAAATGTGTTCCCACTTACAGGTTTTATGTCAATAGGAACGACTTCCTGTAAGTTCTGACTAAATCCTGTAAACCGGACTGCTATTGGAACAGACTAAATTAAAGTTATCGTAATCAAGAAAATGTTAATTGCGATTTATTTAGAATATTTCAACAACTCCAAAAAAATATTTAAGCGAATTCCCAACTTAAAACCATTTTGGTGTATAAAAATCCACATTTGATCTAAGCAAAATTAATTTTTCGATAACCGTAAACGCAATCACGAATTGCAAGATTGCGATTACTTTAATTGTTATCCTAAAAATTTCACGATTACGACTACTGTAATCGTATTCATAATTTCTACGATTACAATTACAGTAATTGTAATCACAAAATTTTTGGCATTCCGATTACTGTAATCGTAATAACAAAAAGCGCGATTAGATACGATTACCGTTGTCGTAATCATAAAATTTTAAGGATTTCAATTAAAGCATTCGCAATCAAGCATGTTATAATTACAATTACAGTAATCGTAATCCTAAGTAATCGAAATGTAGTCGTAATCAAAGTGCCCAGCTCTTATAATAATAACAATAATAATTGATTTCCTTGACATGCCTTTGGAGGTGCATCGACTCCGATTTGCGGCGTGCGCCTTGACGTTGTCACACAAAGGGGAGGGATCTACAGTTTTACGCTGACACCTAACGGCGATTATATTTTCATGAGTGGCGACCGCTATTAGAAGAAAACTTTTTTGTTTTATTTTTTGATGCTGGTCGGTAACGGGGCTTGAACACAGGCCCTGCGGAATTGGTAGCGCGCACTGCTAACCACTACACCACATCGGCCGCCACAGGTATGTTTTATTAAAACCAGTGTTTATTTTGTAAGACCCTACATAATATATTCACTCATTTTTTTTTTCTTTTCAATAAAAGCACTATTGTTCACGAATTCCATGGGATTAAGAGTAACTATTATGGTAGGGGTCATGAAATAAATAATACATATTATATGATTCGCATTGGGAACGGAAACTGATTTTTCTTTGTGAGGCGATCTAATGTACATATATATATATACTACTATATAGATATGTCTGAACAGTAAAACCCGCTTAAATACCTCATAAAAAATGTCAGCTTTTTGAGGTACTCAGGCTTAGGAACATAATCACAGATGTACATACATAGTTACATCTTTATTTTAACTTACATAAATACTTGAATAACAACATTTAATGAAGTATACATAGTTTAAAACCAAAATGCTACGATTATTAAAGCAAATAAATAAGTAAAGAGAAACTTTGTTAAAAAAAATATATAGTGCAATGGTATGTCATTTTTACAAGAATTCAATTGTTTAAAAAGTCAAAGTTGGGCATATCATTTTGTACCAAATTCAAAATGATATTGGTTGCCACTTACGTTTATTTAATAATTTTTAAGATTTTTCAATCAATTAAAATGCAGTCCATTCTCTAACAAATACCATATAAACATAAGCTTAAGATTTTGTAGAACAATTAAAAAAAAATCATCATAATTTTAAACTTTTTCTCAGAAGTGTTTTTTGAGTACACGGTTTTATAGCCCATTCAATTTTAGTGTAATAATGTGCCAGTTTCAAGTGGCTAAAAATTATCGTTGATTATTTAGAATTTTTTTCACCGAAGGTGCTGCTACTGAATTTCAAAATACTTAAATATTTTAAGCAATTTTAAAAGACCATTTAAAAGGGGAAAATTATAAGTAAAATTGTAATTGGGGCACCAAAAATTTAGGTACTTAGGCAGGCTGGGTCAATAAGCGAGGAGGTACTTAAGAGAGGGATTTTCTTCAGATTATATTAAGAAATATTGGTTACTTAAGCGGGTTTCACTATACATAAATAGGTGGATGTTTGCTGACTTTTAGTACCATTTTATGTACATGTGTTTGTATGTTCATCCCAACCTATTTTCAACCCAATGCTTAGTAGTATAAACTGCATTGCCATCAAACGGTATACAAGGGCAAATATTGTTTCATGTCATCTACCGCGTTACGAGTACGCGTACTACAAGTACTTTATATTTGCATTTGTCCGTTATATTTAAGTGCTTATGTGAATACAAAATTACATATCGTCGTTTAAAGTACAAAACCGCGTATCAACAAAATGCAAAGCCGCGTATCAAGATAATGCAAAACCGCGTATATGAGGTTGCATAAATTATTTTCTAGAGAATAAAAATACTCATATTTCAAAATGGTTCTCTTTTTTATAGAGCAATCGCATTTTTGGGTAGTATATTTCAGGACGATGGGTTAAGGATTGAGCCAATAGCTTGTGGGAGCAAATCCAATTTTTGGCAGCCAATGTCAGTTACGCGGTTTTGCAGAATGGCGATACGCGGTTTTGTACTTTAAACGACGATATGTATATCTATAAGTATCTATGTACATATGTCTGTGCAAATGTCATATACAAAGACTAAAATGA